CAAAGCCAACCTATCTCATCATCACGAGTTTAGATATTAAAATACTTCGTAACAATTCCTCACAAAGGTTGAGTTGTCAAAGGCTTAAAAATCACTTATTATAAGTGAGAGATCCTGCCCAAATAGGAAATTATCAAGCAGTGTAATATTCCAGGGATCTATTTCCTGCACTGTTTTTACCCGGAGTTGAAAAGCCAGGTCTCCACGTGTGACGGTTCTTCAGCTGACACGAAGTCACAGACCCCCAGTGTTTCCCGAACAGTAACACCCTCTTGGGGGGGTCTCCTCCGCGGCTCTGGAGAGCCTCTTTCGAACAGTCTGGTGGTCTCAGCAGCGCGCTGAGATGTATCAGGAGTTACTCCCCCCTGAAGAAAATAGCACACAGTTCCTGATCTTCATACAAGTTTTCTTCAGCAAGAAACATGCATTTCATGTTATCCTTGAGGTCGAAGGGCACTTGAATGGTAAGGACTAGTGTTTGGATGTTACTGTTTATGCCATTAAACGTTTGATACAGAGTATCTGATGCCAAGACACCGCAATCCGAGCTAACCCAGTCTTCACCTGTTGCTCACACCTCAGAACCTGTGAGGAGCTAAGCAGTGAGAAGCGGTGGGAAACAAGGAAGCTTTGCTATTTCAGAAGTGAGCATTGTCAGAGGGATGTCTCTCATGCAGTCATGACTTGTCACAAATCCAATTTCTTCAACTGCTCGTATGTCACGAAGAACTGCAGGCATTGGTTAAGGCTGACAAAGACGATACCATCTTAACCCTGATGCATCAAAACAGACCCACAGATGGCTCACCTATGAACAAATAGGTCTGGGCAGACCACACACCGTGGACATGATTAAACAGGAGAGGCTCCACCTTCAACCACCCCAAAAGACCTCCCCATTAGCCTTCCCAAGGTTGGCTTGGAAGAGACAGACCACAGCCGAGATATATAAATCCCCTGCATCAACTCTGAAAGCTTCTTCTAAGATTACATCCACACTGCTAGCTCTTCTGACTTCTGGGAATACTTTACAGAATAGGGAATTCTGTGAGAGAGAGAAACAAAGCAAGTCTGAGAAGCTCTCCTCCAGGGTTTCCACTAGGCAAGAGTCCACGGGAGGGAGGCGCAGATAAATAAGGATGGTGCAAACCAACATCCCCTACTTTATAATTCTGCCCTTTTTTTTAAATGGAGGTACTAGGAATTGAACCCAGGACCTCGTGCATGCTAAGCATGCGCTCTACCACTGAGCTATATCCACCCCTCTGGCCTTTTCATTCCTAATAAACTGCTACTTCCTTCCTGCCTCCCACTTTGGCTCATCAGCCAAAAGGTTCTGGAGCTGATTCCCGTCTATCCTTAGGCACTGTCTAAAATAAGCATTCTACAACACTGCTGCCAAACTACATCCTTCTCAAGGGTGGCTAGGCATTAAACAAAACAAAACAAAACAAACTTTGTCTCTGAAATCAGCTTCCAGAGCAGAGTCTAAAAGGTTTCATTGATATCACTGCCTTTCAATGATACCATCACTAAACCAAGATTCACAATGCCTAGCAGAGACATTTTACTTCCTAAAAGAGAAACTGAAAAGTTATTTCTTGAGGAACTCAAAAGAGTAAGAGCCTACGTCTAAATTATAACATGATAGTTTATACAAACAACATTCTTTAGTTCTATCTTTTTTCACATCTACTGCAACAGAAAAGGATACAATAATATTCCAAGGACCGAGTCTCAACCAATTTGGCCAAAACCCTTTATATAGAGCAAAAAAACCTTCATTCTTCCACGTCTGTTATAAGGGAGAGGGGGAAAAAAAGTTAACTTCCAACTTCCCAATTACGTCAAATATGCACTAATAATCAGTAGCCATACTGAAATGATCTATTTTTCTTAAAAACAAAATTCTGTTTGGAAAGACTCTGTAAGAAATCATTGCCCTCTGCCTCTTCTTGTTCTTTAAAACCTTCTGCATAGGTAAAGACTCAGGCTCTGTGTCAAACCACCCCGCACCCAAAGCAAACAGCAGTTAAATGAATAAGAAATGAGATGTAATTCCAACCTAGAGTCTCCTGCCTCCTGCCATGTGGGCTCACAAACAGGTCGGAAATAAAGAAGGGAGGCAATGGTGGTAAACACACATAGTTCAGAGTATCACGATTTCATGTTACTGGATGGACAAGATCAAGTATCTTTGCTTCATTAAAGCAATATTTAAATTCTAGGGATGTGCCAGAATTATGCCGAAAAACAGCGACCACAAAAGTGGTCCCTCGTCTTTGGCTGCCAGCAATCCAGGAGGGGAGACGGTCACAAACTTTCACCTGCTCACAAACAGTGGGGCCCAGTTATTTAAACTGAGAATAATGGTTGAGATTCGTGTGTTCCTTTGAGAGACGTCTGAATGACGGAGATGCCTTCCAGTCTGACTCAATAGGAAGGTGATATATTGAACTTTCACTTCCAAATATTCATCTAAATTTTGTATTTATAAAAATTAGCTCCAGTGTGGCAAAAACTCTGTACCATCTCAGGGCTTTAAAGCATCACTCAGTTATATTAGCCCTCAAAATTTAGTTACTTCTTCAGGTAAGTACACATAAATAAAATATATTAACAATATATATATATGGGGGATAGTTTCATTGATTGAAGCAATCCACTAGAATGTTGAAGATGAAAATAAATGCGCTTATTTTGCCAACGTGTCCCTTATTATTATACTAAAAAGGCTTTAGCACTGTTATAAAAGTTTATACTTATTACTATAAATGTACAAAATGTTTTTACTTAACATTATTCCAGGTGCTATGCTAACTATTTTGTTTTTACAAATAATTATTTTCACAATATTTTTACAATACAAAAAAAACCAATTATTTTTACAATAATTCTGTGATATAGCTGCTATTATGGTCCCATTTCACTTACGAGGAAATTTCAGCGTAGAGTCCGTACCTTGACCAAAGCCACACAATTTCTAATGACAGAGCTGTGGGTTTATTTTGCTCTGAACCCTTGTGTTTTTAAGTCATGCTAAGAAACACTTCTGAGGGCAGCAGGGAAGCTAATGAGCCCCGAAAGGAATTCACAGCCAGGTACAGATGGACGTGCACGCTCACCTGTAACAAGCAATCCAAGGTACCTGTGTAGCCAGGGCACCTGCCGTCGCGAAAGACTCTCTGATTCATCATACGTGTTCTCACAACATCCACAGGGTTTGAGGCCAGGGCCCCGGCCAGCCCACAGGTGAAGCTCGAGCTATGAAAGAGACCATTAGGAAAACAACTTCTGTATCACAATTTCTCAAACCTGAGAATACTTTTATAATGAACTTCCTTTAAAATGTCTATAAATCAGTAGCTTATTTCCACCTAAACTCGTGCATACCTATAATATTAATTTTTAAAAACCCATAAACATACAGGAAATGGGTATACACGGTGTCTCCCATCAGGCCCGAGAGAATGAGGTGTTTCTTGGTGAGGTCGTAGACTGGCAGCTCCACGCCAACGACGATAGCAGCCCTCTGGGCTGTCAGGGACACACCCTGGGCGAAAATATGAAGAGCAAAGATTCAGATCTCTCTCCTCCGCAGACTAAGGCCAATTTGTATGTTTTCCTGTTGGTAGGTAGTAGTGCAGAGGGACAGAGCAGAAAAACCTGGGGGCTAAGAAGTCAGAAGCTCCAAAGTGTAATCCTGATTCTGGCACTAACTGTACGACCTTGACCGGGACGAGTCCCCTCTCAGAGCCTTGGGTTTCCTTGTACCCAGAGGACTGTACTGGGTGACCTTCAGGCTCTAGTCCATGAACTGACAGTCACTGGAATACTAGGAAATAGCACTCCATCCCAGGGCTTGCCTAGTAACACAGCCTTCACCTGAGAGCCGTGAGGCTTCCTACCATACAGACCAAAAAATCCAACATAACACTGACCTAGAAACCCCTTCTCCGTAAGAACTGAAAAGAAAAAAGCACTCAACCTTCACAGAATTTCTTACATGTGAATTATCCAAAAGGCACTTTAAAATCATGACATATTCCTTATATTTCCATTTTACAGACTAAGGAAATTAAGGAAAAAGCTATCTTTCAGGGCAGATGTCACGCTTCTTCCCTTACTCCATCATGTCATTTGGATTAAATAAAATAGTGGAAATAGAAAAAATAAATTCAGAAAAAGGGGGAAGAACTAAGTCCATTTTTCAAGCTTACCTTCCACAGCCCTCTTGTTCCCTCTTGCTGGTAAATGTTAATGAAGTTGCCGATCATTCCTCCTTGAAGGGTGCTGTTTTGTGCTTGCATCCGTATCTAGAGAGTATTTAAAATACTAACGTGAGAAACTAGAACATTTCTCCCCAAATGCAGACTTTTAAAGAGCGCTCAATCTACTGTTTAATAACCATTAAAAGAAAAAAAGTACAATATAAGTATCACTATAATGCTAGCTAGTTTAAAATGTCCTCAGGAGACTAAAAATGTATAAGGATTGGTTCTTAGGCACTTTGGAATCAACAAAAAGCATCTAGGAGCATCCAGAGTCTTGCATATAGTAGCTTCTTAAGAATCAAAAAGAAATTATTATTTTTTAAAATACTCTCTTGAAAAGGAAAGAAAATGGCATATTTCCCTCCAGGTTACTAAGTAGGAGAGAGAGAATACGATGGTCATTCTAGAGATTTAATGGAGTTAGTGAGTATCCAGTGTACCTGGCAACACTAAACATGGGCAAGCACACTTCTTAAATTAGTTACTTCAAGCCACTATTATTCCCGACCAGCCAAATCAAAAGGTATGCAGCTGCGCTGGCCACAGGATGGCCACGTGATGCCCGTCACTCTTGAACTTACAAATAAACTTTAAAACAGCCATGGAATTCACGTGACCAAGATCCCAACATAAAAATAACGTTTGATGTAGCGCTCCGCATTTTTAAGAATGAAACGGGACATCCCACTAAAAAACTGGTGCCCTATTTTGGTTTCAGGAGCACATGCATTACCTCCAATTCTAAAGGGCACTGTTGTTGCCATGTTAACGTGGGAAAATAAAACAAAATGCAGGAGCTGCCTTTCCGCAGCCTTGACGTACATTTAAGAGATTCATAGGAGTGTGGATATTTTCTCTAGCAACCTTACCCCAACACAGGGTAAACTCGTGGCAAAAGGACCTGGTGTTTCTCATCGCACACTCAGTACCTTCACCGTGTGTGACTGTAGTGCGCCCAACACCCTGCTGCAGACAATTCTGATGCTTGTCCGAATCTCCTACTAGACTGAAGACTGCAGGCAGGGTCCTTGCTTTACTCATTTTTGGATTCTAAGCATTTAGCACATTAGTCCAAAGTTGAAGCACATGTTCAAACAGTTACTCACACTTAATTTTGATTTTCTTTAATTAGTTAGTCCCTTGCTGTATTGCAAAAAGGATTTAAGGAGGCTGTATCCCTGGTACTGTCAACAAGATCATCTAATGTGTTGTGTCTAATTGTGCTTAAGTATTTTCATTACTATTTCCTGAAGTCAAACGAATGGGTAACTTAATGCCTGCAGAAACAGTTGGCAATGAGCTGCCTAGCTTTGTGTAGAATTTGCAGCCCATCTACTTTAATAAACCCATAAAACAAGGGAGATTTTCAATGAAAAATGAAAGTCAAATGCATCTAAGCCTCAATTTTTTTTTTCTGGTTAATCACCAAAACCTCTAGCATCACCAAAGTCTCCAAAAATGGGCTCTACTTGGGACCTTATCTGTATCAGTGGGAAATCCATCTAGTGCGTGTCTCGAAGTTAGAGTCTTCATGGCACTTAAATCATAAACGGATTCACACATACACAGCAGTTATATTCACAGGTTTTCATTATCTGAATGTTGGTCTCAATAAGAAAATGCAGAATGTGCCTATAAGATACAGATAGCACGCTTACTTTCAAAACATCAGTTGGATTAGCAATGCTTGAGGATATGACTCCGGAGAGAATTCCACATAACACATTTATCAGAAGGGTTTCATCTGTAATCAAAGACATTATTATTTGACTTTTCATACATACAGAGCTCTTCTTCATGTGGGTAACTCAGATACTGGTGCAATTCATTTACATGCCACTTGTTCATTTAAGAGAATACAGAAATGTGATTCTGAATCAAGTAATTTTAAAAGGATTCGGGAGTTTGCTCAGCAAAACTTCTTGATATTTAAGAAGGCATGTGATATCATGCAAAGTGAGTAACCATCTACCAATTCACTTTTGGGTGTAAATGCAGACCACTGTTGTGATTACGATGAGGCAGTACACAGACTGGTGGTAAAATAAAAGATACCCTCTTATGAGATAATGTGGAGATAACGTTTTAAAGCGCATCATGTGTATTTAATTTGAAATACAGTGAAGTACTTCCACAGCATCTTTGCTCCTATTCATCAGTCTCATGGAGCAGTGACTGGTGCTCATCACATTGAAAAAAAAAAAGATAGAAACTTCTATAAATTAAAGCAAAGTCAAAGAATCAACCAGCAATAGAATATTAGAACTCAGCGTTCTTAATACTAAGAAATGCATTCACTGCTTTTCAAAAAAATACATGATCATTCTCATGACCTTAGAAATTTTTCAGTGGGCTACAACTCTAAGAACATACCCTCGAGTCTGGACATTGTGGAGATTAAGGACAACTCATTAAGATGTAAGATTGCTCCGTTTAACTGTTATTCCCCTAAATTCAGCTGATAAATAACTGACTTGCTGCAAGCATAATTCATTTAGACTTTATACCTAGAGTTCTCCTCCAAAGTGGTAAAGTCACAAATAAGAAAATCAATCCAGGAGGTGGGGGATAGCTCAGCGGTAGAGCACATGCTTAGAATCGCACAAGGTCCTAGGTCCAATCTCCAGTACCTCTATTTAAAAAAAAAAAACTTGCTCCAAAACCACTTGAATGCAAAGATAAGCAACCCGCCTCCTATCCAAAAGTGGAAGAAAGATTCCCCGCTCACCTTCCGGGTGCTCAACAAATAGCCGCTTCAGGCTCTGGTAAGTGCCTATCTTGATGGTGCCGTAGGAAGCCTGGCGTAACATCGCAGGGGCAATCCTGCCAAACCAATGTACAAAGAGACAGAGACATTCTAGAAAATCACTTAAAATCCTCCAGCAGACCTACGCAGGAGATGCAATCACGTATCTGCCTTCCACAATCAAGCTACACTAAAACAGACTTCTTCGAGTTCAAAATCCAACAAAAATACAGGAGATTATCAGTTTACTAAGTGAAAGCTCAGCCCCTCCTGTTTATCCTCAGTGAACACGTCATTGAACAAGTTCATCCATAACCAGACAGCTTTCCTTTCTCAGCACAAAGCGCCTGGTGAAGTCTGGCCTCTGTAAGCATCAGTCACTCCTCCAGGGTTGCTCTGGAGCTCATCTCCTATCCCCTGGGGGCCCTGTTTCAGTTATTTCCTCTCCCTCCGGGCCCTTCTCTGACCCCAGGGCCACCCTGTGCACTCACACTCCCCAGCTCTCCTGCTGCACCCCCACCTCCTTCTTGATGGCAATCTGGTTTCCCTCCGCCCCTTCCATCAAAACTCCCCTCACCACAAGGGGCCCAAGTGACATCTCTGTTGCTAAATTAGATGAGTTTTCCATCAGCATCTCTGCAGTACTTGCTGCTGTCATTCTTTGTCCTGCTTGCAGCCTTCTTCTCCTTGAGCTACTTCCCCGTCCAACTCCTCCTCTCTCTGCAGCACCCAACCTCTGCCCTCAGGGGAGCCCTGGAATTCTATCCTTCCTCTCTTCTCTCCTCGCTCCACACGCTCCCAGAGGAGCTCATCTACTCCCACGGCTTCCACTGTCTAATGACTGACGGTTCCTAAATTCAAGTTTCCAATACTGACTGATCCAAAGATGCATTTCCAGCTGCTTCCCAGATTTCTCAACTCACACATCCACCAGAAAGATCAAGTGCCCCACATTGAACTAATTATCTTCCCTCTCCAGACAATCCGCTCTTCTCTTCCGTGTCCTGGACCAGAGGATGGAACCTCAATCAGCACACTGGCCAGAACCAGAAAATGAGACATTAGCTTTAGCCTGTCTCCTCCTTCCCCAGCCACCTCCCCATCGTACATAAGGTTACACATGATGTCGATCCTCTGCCCTAAAGAGCCTTCCAGCCTGTCTTCTTTCTCTCCATCCCCCAGACAAAACCTCAGGTTAGATCCTTGTCTCTATGTCCTCCATGTCAGCCTGCTTCCACTGTCACTGTCTCTCTTTCCCCCCATGGCAGGCAGGCACCTTTTACAGTGGAAACCTGGTTGTGTCAGTCCCTCTCCTCATAACCCCTTAGGGGCTTTTGTCTGCCACAGTCACGTGCTGACAGGTACCAGGCAGATGCTGCGAGTCCATGAAGCAGGCTGGGTCCAACTGCACACCTACGTTACGTAAGCACCAAGGGTTTGGATAAGCCAGAGAAAGCATCCTTAACACTGGTTACTATTGCCATAGGTGAACAAATGTGAGCCCAGATGGTGGGTTTTCCTGAGAAGATGGAATTCCAGGTTTTCATGTTCAACTTCTCATATTTAAAACACTGGCTCTGTTGAAAGACAAAAACCTTTGGGATCCGTGGTTGGGAGGGCTGTGAGGCCTGGTTTGGGACCTGCAGTGTCTCGGACAAAATCAAGATGCTTAGCATGGCCTGAGGTCGTCTGGGTCCTGACCCCTTGTTACCACTCCAACTCCATCTCCTGCTACACAGTAACTCCTATGCTACAGACATGCTGAATCACTTGCAGTTCCTAGAAAGGACCGTGTTCTCTTGCACATACTACTGGCTCTAAATGAACAGAGTTCCCCTTTAACTTCACCTGGCTAATTCGTCTTGGTCCTTTCAAGATCAGATCCAGCACCTTTCCAGCACACCGGTCCCCTCCCGTCCCCACAGCTTGGGACTGGCACCTTGTCTCTACCAGACTTTGGTACTCAGCAGACTCCACTGGAATCCCTGTTTGCACATCCGCAGCCCCACTAAACAACAGTTCCTTCAGGACAGGGTGCTGCTGCTGATTCCCATGTGTGCTCCCAGATCCATCCTTGCCCTTCTCTGTCCTGCTTTGTGCCCGGCAAGGCTGGTGCCATGGACCACATCATCCAGTTCCCCTGCCAGCTGACTTCCTGGTGGATTTGGCCAGTAGAAGATGGGAAGGAGGTGGGGGAGGGAGGAGAAAGAAGCACAGGTATTTCTTCCTCTCCCTGGGCACTGGCAAAGCATCCTCGACAACTACTGTTAGCTCCTTCAAGGCTCCAGCCCAAGTAGGTTCTGCTAACACCATTCCTTCGCCTGTCCCTGTAGTCCTAGCGTTGGTAACAATTTCTCACTTTGCTAGTTTCTAGTGACCTCAAAATCCTTCATTTATTCCCTTAAGTAGCCCTTCATTAATCTCTCATTTAAAATTCTGTTTCCTGCAGGGACTCTGACTGACAATAGGCAAGCCCTGCCTTATTCACTTTCCTAACCAGTGCTTGCAGCACACTGTTCTTTGAATGTTGGGTTAAAAAGTTGTTCACTGAAACTCTTACCCATGGAGAATACAATATCATTTCCATTACGGCGAAAACTTCAGTAATTCAGAATAACCAACGAAAACTTCAGTAATTCAGAATAACCAAGGGGAAGGGCTATTTTCGGAGTGAAAAACCAGTATTAAGGAATGTTTTAAAACAAATGTAAATTTTGTGTTATTCTATTTGAATATAATAAAAAGTCTCACCACAACATTCACTACATGAAACATATATATAGAAAATAACCAGTATCTTGTAGTAACCTATAATACAAAGAATATGAAAACAAATATATGCATGTATATGTATGACTGAACTATTAAGCTGTGCACCAGAAATTGACACATTGTAAACTGACTATACTTCAATTAAAAAGAAAGTTAAAAAGAAAACTCAACCATGGTACTTGCTCTTTTAAAATACCCCCTAAACCTGTACTTTTTCTCTCTGAAGTCTCAGTGTGAAGTCTGTTCATTTGAAAGGTCAACAGTGAAATACAAACACACAAAGGTCTACTCACCCCGAATACAGCGCTTTCAGGCCTTCTTCTCTGCCTATCCTCACCAGCGCATGCAGCATTCCTCGATATCTGATCTCTTTAAAGTTTGCATCGTTCTTCTGGCCTTGAATCTGGAGCCGTGTCTTGGTCAGATCAATTGGAAATGTACCTTAAAATTTTAAAGAAGGAAATGTTTCACTTAATAAAAAGAAATTCCACTAAATAAAGGATACATAGCAATATATTACTAAGGAAACATTCAGACTATAATGTAAACTAAGAAATAGAATTAAGAAATGGCTGATAATTTGCAATCTTTTTTCTATTAAAAGAGGAACCAAATGAGTTTAAAAAACCCTTTTTTAAAATGAGTGTATTTTCTTTTCTGTACATTTTTACTAATGTCCCATCTTAATTTTACATAGGATTTGAGGAGGCTGTACTGCTGTCAAAAGTAGGGACATGGAATGATTTACACAAACAGGAAATCCATTTAAAAATGTTAAGTTCCTATTTTTAATGTATGCGACGGCTAATACTTGGTTCAATACGAATGAAGAGAGATAAATGTATTTTCTAAAGGAGTTTCTCACTCTGTGGGTTACAGCCTGAAAGTGAATCTGTTAATGCAGGTAAAAATGTTTAATACAGTACCTGAGATAGTCCATCCACATATATATAAACCCCTGCTCAGTAACCTGTGTGGGTGGGAAAGCCCACCCAAGGGGGAGCCTAAGTGGGCGGGCAGGGATGGGTGTTAATGTGCCCCAACCTCTTGCCCGGTCGGTCCTCAGGGGCAGCCTCTGCCCCAGAACAGCAGTGGCCCAGCCCAGCACCTGACACCATCTCAATCAATATCTGTCCAATAAATGATTCTGAGAGTAACAAGGAACAAACAGGATCTGCTGTGGCCCGGAGCAGACGAGGGAGTCACAAACAGGATATGGACAATGTGCTGAGCTAGAACACGATGACAGTCCCTGGACTCGAGCAGGGAGGCCTTGGAGCTCCTCAAACCTCTTCAACAGCCGGATGAGTTAATCATGGCAGAGGGGACGAGGGAAACGGGGACAGATGGATCCACAAAACCTCTGTTTGAGCACCAGGTTCAACTTTCTCCCCAGTGAACTCTGAACCCTCAGCTGCTGATAAACTGCCCAAATGACTCTTTTTGTCTTACAATTTGACTTCTGAGACCAAGTGTTTCATAATCTCGCTTTCGGTGCTTGTGCTGCACTCCCATCAAACACCACATCGCGACCGTAAGTCTGAAGCCTCCCGACGCGCGGCGGCCGGGCGGCGGGCTGCTTACCGCACTCGGCCGTGACCGAGGCCAGGCCCCCGTACACGAAGGGCTTCCAGTTCAGCGCCGACATGCTCACCGCCGTCCCTCCTCCTCTGCTTCACAGACGCATAGCCCCCCGCACGATTCTCCTGGACACAAAAGCAAGAGGTTTCAAGGCTGTCATTTCTCACACGGGCACTTTCTTCTTTCAGCGTGTGATTTATTTGGAGACTGCAACCAGATGCTATGGCTGAATCCCCCACAATACCCAAGGTGAGCCTCACCTTATAAAGCCCAGCACCCCATCCCCTAAACCCCAAATCAGCAACTATTATTCTCACTTTATCAACTGCCTTAATTCTCACCCAGGCCTCAAATTAATCCAATACACTTATGTCTTGATATACATGTAAGTGTTTAGTGTATGTAGTCCAAAGCAGGCCACATTCTCAGGGTCTACGTTATCTGAGATCTGTCCTTCTTCACTCCATAAATATTTCCTATTTGTCACTGTCTTAGTGAGTCCCTCTCAGGAGACACTGGAGTCCTTCAGATTCACAGGAGCAGAAAAATAATGCAACCCAGTGTCACAAGTTAAAATGATAATTACTTACAATGACCAAAATATATCTCTAGTTTCTAAGTGTTAGCTCTCTCCTTTTAGCCATGTTAACAGCTGTGAGGCAGTTTTGGATGAAGAAGCAGACCCTGGGGTCAGAGCCACACCTCCTCCTTCCTAGTAGAATTCCTGTTAACCTCCAGGTTTTTTCCATCATCATCATCATCACCATCATCAAAGCGGCGGATACAGCCAAGTAGAGGTAGAGGCTATACTCACTAAGCTAAATAAAATGCTTAGCTTTTAGGCCTATTGTGGAGATTAAATATATATATATATTTTAAACTAGCACTAAAAAAGACACTCCCAAATGTTGCCTTCCATCCCTCCTTCCCTTTTTAGGTCCTCATTCACTGTGACATATATTCACACACCTGCCACAGCCAGGTCCCCACATTCATTATGTTCTGCAGTTTTATGTGATTTTTTGGCAAATCGGGCCTTGCGCTCATTAACAGGAGACTCATGGAAATTAGCACACTTTTGTATAATATACTAACAACTCTAATTCTTGTCGGTTTAAAATTCTAAATTATGATAGTCATTATTGGCCAGCAACATGCCCAATGTTTTTGATCTGCATGTTTGGGGAATTTTCCCAAGTCTGTATTTCCCAGGACAGACCTACCACAAATCACTACTGCCAAGAATGTCGGATCTCAACAAGGCCAATGGGTTTGCTTAAACCAAGAGAAAACACAGGAACCCAAAGAGGACCCTAATAGACATACTGTTATCTGTTCCTCACTTATGGACATTAACCAAATTCAGAGTGGCTACAGATGAGTAAGGCAGCAGGCTACCTACGCATGGAACTTGAACATCAGTATATGTTTTATGTACTTCAGTACCAAAGAACAAGCCCTCCTCCGCAAAACTCACCTATTGTCCTTGAAAAAGTTTAATATCTGTACTTAACTCTTTGTCTTATTAAATCCATAACCAAGATAATAATTAACACTGTAAGTTAAGACTGTAAGAACACATTAATAATAAATCCAATAATTCATTTACTGGCCTCAACGCATACTTGGATGAGTCCAAGTTAAAAAACAAAATAAGAACTACATAACACGGCACGTGGAAGTACTGTAACTTGCCACTGCAAAAGTGTTGAATAGAAATGTTTTCAGTGGCTCCCCCCCAACTAGTTTGGATAGGAGTATAGAGAAATAAATTAGGAAACCCAGTTTCAGGAAGTGCCTTGTCCAAGGCCACATGGCTGATGGGGGCAGAACTGGGCCCCAACTTCCAAATGTTTTGATTCCAAGTGCAGTGTTCTTTCTACCACCTGAGGCTGTACATGATCAAAAAGGAGTAATGGAAGGGGGAGGGTAGAGCTCTGTGGTAGAGTGCATGCCTAGTGTGCAGGAAGTCCTCAGTTCAATCCCCAGTACCTCCATATAAGTAAACAAACAAACAAACCTAATTACCCTCCCCACCAAAAAAACCCACCACCAACAACAAAGAGGTGTGATGGCATTTTAATTAAGGAGAAAATATTTCTAAGCAGCTACTAAGGTACTACTGATAAGATGTACCTTGTGAACAATAAAGATGTCCTTGAAAGTCTTGAGAAAAATACATATTCAGAAGGTAGTCAACCTAAACAATAATTAAACTTTCCAACACATAGCATAGAAGATGGTGTTCCTGTTTTTCCTCCCCCAGAGTTTTTTACTACGGTGAAATTCACATACTATAAAATAAACCATTTGAGCAAACATTTCAGCGGCACTGAGTACATTCACAAGGTTATACAAACACCACCTCTATCTAGCTCCAAAATATTTCACCACCCAAAAGGAAATCATTAAGTAGTTGCCTCCATTCCCCGGTGACCCCCTCTCCCTCAGCCTCTATATGATTCTTCTTTTCTTAGCTGCGATACTATATATTCATCAAGCTTCTGTGTGGAATACAGGACTCCGTATTAGCACTTCCTAGCTTAGCTAAGGAGCTTCTTAAAAGTACAGACACCAGGGTCCCCACCCACTGAGAGGATCTCAGGAACATCCCAAGCATGTATATTGTTACTGAAAATCAATGAGTCAAATAATTGATGGCCACCTCACATCTTGGTGTATTTATCACTTAAATTCCTGTTTTAGGTAGTTGATTAGGCAGTGACGACGTTATAGTTGGTTCTTCTTTTAATTCATCTTATTTAGTAATGATTTGTTTTCTACGGTGTCTATGTGTACATACACATACACATATATGCAAAAGATACCCTTCAAAGTGTCAGCAAAAATGTATGGGGAATGGGAGTATAACTTCTGATCTCTAATTTGAAAAGAAAACATTTTTTAAAGACTGTATTGTCACAAGACCTCATGCCAACTCACTAATTAACTTTCTGGTTTCCTGCCACTACTTTTGTTTTGCTAGTTTAGCTTTAGTGAGATTTAGTTACTGTTTATTCTGCTGGTTTTGATATTAGATTTTTAGATTAAAACCCAGAGGTTCTGAGTTACACTCACATGCAAACACTAAAGAGCTCACAGGGGCTGTGGAAATGCCTCCCCAGGGTTTTGAATCACGTGGGATGGAGTACACACCCATTAGTTCCCATTCAGATGGACCCCATACCCCCACCATAACTTATCTTCCACAAGTGACTGTCCACTCCTCAATCCCTGGGTAAACTGTAAGGAAGTACTTTCTATTCAACCACACTACCTAGGAGGAAGGCAAAAGTAACTCTAGGATTCTTTTTCTTTCCAGTTGTAAGACTAGATCCTTGAACAGTTAAGACTAATGTGCCTTCCCAGGTTAATGTTTCCTGAATCAAATAAAGAATGATTTAGTTTAAATAACAATCAGAGAGCATCAATAACTGGTCAAACATTCAAACAAGAAAAGGTTCTGGTTAATACTGGAATGGGAGACCATATGTCCAGTAAGCTGTACTGGCCACAAGCTTGCCAGGGCTTCAGTTATCTCAGGCTGAAATCTGTTCAGTAAACCAAGCCGTTTCTTTTCTTTTTTTTTTTTTTTTTGAGCTCTCTTTGGAGGGATTCTCCTCGCACACATTCCTTAACTTCCAAGCTCAATTTTTTGGAAAAATCCCAACTCTACTCAAGTGCCAAGACTGATAGGCCAACACAGTAAGGGGTACTGATGTGTCCCTTAGCAATCATTAGTGATCCCGCAGTAGCTCAGCCTGAGATTCAGGGAAGGGCTTACAACTTCCAAAATTCCAGCGTCCGGCATAGAAGTGGCTGTTGATTCCTTACCACTCTTGCTCTCCTCTTTGGGGCCTACCCTCTACCAGACTCAAACCCAATGACTACTCCTCTGCACCGCCTTCTGAACACAATACTAACAATGGTTGTCATTACTGAATCCCTGACAGGTCAGGCATTGCTACATGGTTGTCACATCTTTACAACCCTGTAAGATAGGTATCATCCCATTTCACAATCGAAAGACAGCTTCACAGAGGAAAGGTGACCCCGCCTCGTCACACAGCAGGAAAGTACTCAACTGAGGTCTCCTTGAGGGAAGGCTAATCCTTCCTCCACGAGCTACCAAGCCAAATGCAATTTCCCAAAGGCTGTTAAAAATACTGGCACACACACAAAAACAATAATTATATAAAAAAAAAAAGTCGTGGTGGCACAGAGGAAATCTACACATTCAGAATACAAGCAGGATTTTCCTGCATGGGAAATGCAAAAACTTTTATCTATTAAAAAAAAGTGTTTCCTGTGTGGAAATGTCTCTACAAATCAAGAATTCCGAAGGATTCTGCCTACACTTAGGATATATGCTAAGTTACAAATCCTCTCTCACTACATCTTCTCTTAACATTAATTTTCTCCTTACCTCATTTGTACAGCTGCAAAAAGAGGCACAAATACAGTAACTGCTGCTGGAACTTCTGAAAGCTTTCCAAGTTTCTCATATAATTAATTCTGAGTAAGTTCTTTCAGTTTGACTGTGTGCAATCTTAAACTGCAATCTAGTCTCTAAATTTCTGTGCGCTCATAAATCTGTTCCCTGCAGGGATGCACTGCCTGGATTTTTCCCCTATTTTCCATTCTTTTTAAAGGTACGCGGGGTGGGGGTGGGGCGGGGTGGTGATAGGGTATAGCTCAGTAGCAGAGTGCATTCCTAGCATGCTCGAGGTCCTGGGTTCAAGCCCCAATACCTCCATTAAAAATATATAAATAAAATCTAATAACCCCCCAAAAGGGGGAAAAAAAAGTGCGGTAGGAAAAATAAGCTCATCAGGCTTATGAAACGTAGGATTTAAAAGGAATCTTAGAAACCCATTTTATTTCACATGAATTAACTGAGTCCATGGTCACAAAGCTTGGCAGCAACAAAGCCAAGAACAGAATTCATGCCTTTCAACTCTTCTCGCTGCAGGAGGACAAATTTAGACTCTTGCAAGACAGTCGACACGTTTTGTTATTCTTGCGCAGGAACAATAATAGTGATAATGCTTTACATGAAGTTACTTACACCTAGAATTACGCTAAAACCCAGAGCTACATTAACTTTCCGAGCAAGTGAATTCGA